AGACTGAAGGAAATATGCCCTAGAGGCAATAATAATGTTATTATTTTTATTTCCTTATATCATGATAAATGTTTATTATTCATGCTAGAATTGTATTATCCAGAAACATAATACTTGTGTGAATACATAGACAAACTAAACGTCACTAGTATGCCTCTACTTGACTAGCTCATTAATCAAAGATGGTTATGTTTCCTAACCATAGACATGTGTTGTCATTTGATTAACGGGATCACATTATTAGGAGAATGATGTGATTGACATGACCCATTCCATTAGCTTAGCACCCGATCGTTTAGTATGTTGCTATTGCTTTCTTCATGACTTATACATGTTACTATGACTATGAGATTATGCAACTCCCGTTTGCCGGAGGAACACTTTGTGTGCTACCAAACGTCACAACGTAACTGGATGATTATAAAGGAGCTCTATAGGTGTCTCCAAAGGTACATATTGGGTTGGCGTATTTCGAGATTAGGATTTGTCACTCCGATTGTCGGAGAGGTATCTCTGGCCCCTCTCGGTAATGCACATCACATAAAGCCTTGCAAGCATTGCAATTAATGAGTTAGTTGTGAGCTAATGTATTACGAAACGAGTAAAGAGACTTGCCGGTAATGAGATTGAACTAGGTATTGAGATACCGACGATCGAATCTCGGGCAAGTAACATACCGATGATAAAGGGAACAACGTATGTTGTTATGCGGTCTGACCGATAAAGATCTTCGTAGAATATGTAGGAGCCAATATGAGCATCCAGGTTCCGCTATTGGTTATTGACCGGAGACGTATCTCGGTCATGTCTACATTGTTCTCGAACCCGTAGGGTCCGCACGCTTAAGGTTTCGATGACAGTTATATTATGAGTTTATGAGTTTTGATGTACCGAAGTTAGTTCGGAGTCCCGGATGTGATCACGGACATAACGAGGAGTCTCAAAATTGTCGAGACATAAAGATTGATATATTGGACGGCTATATTCGGACACCGGAAGTGTTCCGGGTGATTTCGGAGAAAACCGGAGAGCCGGAGGGTTACCGGAACCCTACCGGGAGAAGTAATGGGCCATATGGGCCTCAGTGGAGAGAGAGAGGGGCAGCAAGGGTGGGCCGCGCGCCTCCTCCCCCATGGTCTGAATTGGACTAGGATAGGGGGGGCGGCGCCCCCATTTCCTTCTCCTTCCCCACATCCTTCCCCCTCCTAGTAGGAGTCCTACTCCTACTAGGAGGAGGACACCTCCTTGGCACGCCTATAGGGCCGCCCGGCCTCCTCCCCTTGCTCCTTTATATACGGGGGCAGGGGGCACCCCAAGACACAAGTTGATCCACGTAATCATATTCTTAGCCGTGTGCGGTGCCCCCTTCCACTATAATCCTCGATAATATTGTAGCGGTGCTTAGGCGAAGCCCTGCGACGGTAGTACATCAAGATCGTCACCACGCCGTCGTGCTGACGGAACTCTTCCCCGACACTTTGCTGGATCGGAGTCCGGGGATCGTCATCGAGCTGAACGTGTGCTAAAACTCGGAGGTGCCATAGTTTCGGTGCTTGATCGGTCGGGCCGTGAAGACGTACGACTACATCAACCGCGTTGTGCTAACGCTTCCGCTGTCGGTCTACAAGGATACGTAGATCACACTCTCCCTCTCGTTGCTATGCATCACCATGATCTTGCGTGTGTGTAGGAATTATTTTGAAATTACTACGTTACCCAACATCCAAGGTGCGGAGGGGGGAGTAGTCAGGATGGGTGCCGTGGAGAATGTAGTATGGAGTGTTGTGATTAATGGCTCGGGAGGGACGTATGTTGAGAAGATGGGTGGCGGTGTGTAGGGCCTCGACCTAGAAGGTAGGTGGCATGCTGGCTTGGAGAAGAAGAGTGCGGAGGATATCGTTGGTAGAGCGAATCGCGCGTTCGGCCTTGCCGTTCTGAGGAGAAGTGTGGGGGCAGGAGAGACGAAGAGCGGCGCCGCGGTCAGAGAGGAAGGAGCGGAGGCGTACATTGAGGAACTCCCCACCATTATCGCATTGCAAACACTGGATGAGAACACGGAACTGCGTAAGAACATAAGTGTAGAAATGCTCAAGATATGAGGCAGCATCAGATTTGTGACTCAGAGGGAAACTCCATGACAAATGAGTAAAATCATCCATTATAATTAGGTAGTACTTGAAACCAGAAAAGCTCGCAACTGGTGCGGTCCATAGATCGCAATGAACTAGTTGAAAAGGAAAAGAAGTAAATGACATGGACTCTGGGAAAGGTAATCTAGCCTGTCGACCTAGTTGACACGCTTCACACGAACCACACGGGTGAAGTGGTTTATTACATGAAGGAGGGAAATCATGGCGCATGCGAGAGAGGGCAGCAGCAGCACTGGGGTGTCCAAGTCTCTGATGCCATAAGTCGCCGACGGTCGCGGAGAGGAGAGTGGAGTGTTTGTTGGCGCCGCCGGAGAACGAATAGAGCTGCCCGTAGCTACTGCAGGTCAGGAGAGGGGTCCGGGTGGCTAGATCCTTCACAGCAAAAGCAAAAGGGTAAAATTCGATGGAAACAGAATTATCAATGCAAAAACGACGGACAAAATTAAGATTTGTGGCTACACGAGGTGAGTACAGGATATTGTTGAGGTAGAAGGGGCGGGAGGTGAGTTTTGTCGAGCCGGTGGCATGAACAGGTAGATGGGACCCATCACCAACAATGATACTAGAGGGGGAATGCTTGGATGGATAACAAAACGAGCCGAGGTTACCTGCGTTGCCGGTGACATGGGACGAGGCGCCGGAGTCAAGGTACCACTCGTCGTGACCGCCGCCTTGCTGCTGGATGGCCATGTTGTTCATGGCGGCGAGCAGGCCCGCCTGGTCCCATGACGGCGGTGGTGGCGGGTTGGTGGAGGACGGCGGGGCACCGGAGTAGGCGACGGGGTAGGCGTACGCGGGGTTGCCGGGGCAAGGCCCGAGCACGCCCGCGGCGTTGGGTGGAAACCATGGTGCACGCCCCTGGGGTGGGAAAGGCGCACCCCATGGGGCGAAGTACCCCATCCAGGGGGTGTGGCCCCCCGGAGCCAGGTGAGGCTGGCCGCGGCCACCCGTGTGCCCGCCATGGCGACCTTGTCCGCGGCCATGGCTGCGCCCCTGACCGCGCCCACGAGCCGGAGACCCGCCGCGCTGGGGAGTGCCCGCGTCCGCTGGCGCCTTGCCGCGGTCGGCGCGATCACCGGACCCGGCACCGGAGGAGGAGCCGCCGCCGCTGAGGCCGATGGTGAGCGCGGTGGAGCCGTCGGAGCGATCACGGGCGTCCTGCTGGATCTCCTCGAGCAGAAGGCGCGAACGAGCCTGGTTGAAGGAGGGGAATGGATTCTGCATGGGCAAGACCGTGGCGATCACCTGGTATCGGCGGGAGAGTCCTCGCAGCAGCAGCAGCGTCAGCGTCCGATCGGTGACGGGCTCCTCGACGTCCGCCATGGCATCGGCCAGCGCCTTCAGGCAAGCACAGTACTCGGCCATGCGCAGGTCGCCTCGGGTGAGGGCGCGGAACTCGGCGGAGAGGTGGACAGCCTGAGCGGGCTGGTTGGCGAGGAAGAACTCCCGAAGTTTGTCCCAGGCAAGGAAGGCGGTGTTGGCCTCGCCGCGGATGACCTCGTAGAGGGCGTCGGTGATGGTGGAGTAGAGCAGCAGAAGGAGGGTGAGATCGGTGTGACGCCAGGCCGGAGACTGCTGGGCGGGGTCGGAGTAGTGGGTGATGTGGTGCTGGACGGCGTACATGGTGAGGACGCAGCGCCAGAGTTCGCGCCACTTGGAGTAGCTGCCGGACTGGATGTCGAGTTTGAAGGTGATGAGACTCCCGATGTTGTGGAGAGAGTGGATGGAGGGGATGGCGGTGGAAGGAGGAGCCGTAGGGTCAGGAAGAACTGGGGGAGAGAGCAATGTCATGGCGGAAGAGACCGCTGCAGGCGGAGCCTTGGCGACAATGATCAGCTCGGGCGAGGTGAGCACCGGAGTCGGGGGAGGAGGGATGGGCGGAGTGAGAGCGGGGGAGGAGGGGGGACTGGTGCTCGTGAGGTCGCCGGAGTTCACAAGGCTCAAGTCAAGGATAAGCTCCCCGAGGTGTAATAGACGTACTGCCTCATGAACACGGCCGGCGTGCATGTTCGTGGTGCCGCTAGTTGCCCCGGTGCTCCAAAGGTGGCAGCATCTGTGGGACCTCCACCGACCACCATCTGGCTGGACATGCTCGCCCCGCTAAAGAACACACTGGATGAACCAGGGTCGGCCACATCACCGTACGCATAGCTGGTCGGCGACACCGTGGTTCTGCCGGTCCAGGCATTCTGAGGGGATGCGCTACTTCCTCGCACAGTGCAAGGACACACGCTGCCTCCTTCTATCGTGCATCGATCGTATCCTTATAATAAGAGGTCGTCACATGCCGGCCGGAGCTGACCGCGAGACCAAGCTGAGACACAGACCCAGGCCTACTGTGTTACACGTCGATTATTTTGCCTAACCATTGGCAACCATGATCTAACAGAATCAGTGTATTTAAGCCAAACCTTTTTTTTGCGGGTGCGTTTGGTTGTATTGCCCAGCTTGCCCATAGCTGAGCTAGCCTAGCTAGGTTAGCTCGGCTGGGCTACCTTTGCCTTAGCAGCACGTTTGGTTCAATGCCCTTGCTAGCAACAGCCATCAGCTGGTCGTTTGGTTGTGCTGCGGGCAAGGTAGCTCGTTTTCACAGTATCCAAATACAAGTAGCTTATAACAAGTGCATCATCACTACAATATCATTGAAAAAATATCAGTGAAACGGAGAAATGGCTACAGGCAGATCAAGTTGTAAATAGCCATGCAAAAATTCAGCGCAACTTCATGATTGTAAATTTAACACACTCTGTAAACACACTGACTGATAAAGAATTAATCTGACTAACAATTTTATTTTTCAGGAATGAAAAACTCTCTAACATCATTACATGCTAGCATGAGTCATGGACATTATTTCCCTAGGAGACGATGCTGGAAGACATACAAAATAATCCTAAACTTTTACAGTAAAATGAATCACACGCCAGGAGGAACATGAACGTGATCAGGAAAGTTATCACGGACCCAGCGCCGCACAAACTCTTGAATAGCAGCCATCGGCCTCCCCTTCAACATGGACGCCACTTGTTCATGGGTGGCCAAAGATGTCTGTAGTGAAAGTCGGACGAATAGAGGGTATTCTTCCATGTCATCAATTATTTTGAATAAATTCTCATTCGGGTTGGTCACGTGTGTGAAACGCATAGTATCCGACATATCACGCAGAGACCGCGTCATGTCTTGAACTACACTCTCCTCACACTTCACCCTCTTACCTTTATCACGTTTGCCACCTCTAGGACGCTTCGAAGATGAGCTTTCATTATTGGTGTCGTCAGGAAGACAATCTGAATCATATTGTGTTGCAGGATCAACCTCAATATCAATCGCACTCTTCTCGGTGTCACCAATAAAATCCTTGTCACGAGCATGAACACGGTCATAGGGTGTTTGAAGGACAGTGAACTCTCCGGTAGCATGCTTATCCTGAAATATGAACTCCATCTCATCAAAGTTGGCAATAGGCACATTGATATATTTTGCCCTCTTGTCTTTGTTCTGGAAGAGAGGAGGAAGCATGAAAATGTTAGTTATAAAAGACAAAACATAATACAAGATGGAAATATAATTTGACAAAATTTAGATGTAATGTTCACATTCTTCATCCGTACAACTTCAGTATCATCATATAATATTATCTTGTTGACATCATCAAAATTGGCACCGCTTAAATTCTTCACCTCTAGTATGATCTTCCACTGACCTTTCAGGTTATGGAACTTGTGATAAACTTGCCTTTGTGTGAAGGCGGTGGTAAACTTTGCATTGATTTGTTTTGCACACTCCTCATGATGTGTCTCTTTGAAGACAAATTGTTTTCCCTCAGACTGAATCTTCTCTTTATAGTAACATAGCATTTCATCTACAACTTGGGGCTGCCACACCACATTGTTACCCGCCATATCCCTGTGGCATCAATTAAATTTTATAATTCATAGACAGAATAACACCTATGAGATGCATATCGCATTGCACTCGTACCAAGGGAAAGAAATCATGGTTACAAGTTGAAGAAAGAAAACACACAAGTCGTTCTTCTAAGTGATAATACAACTTATAGAATCAACAAATTCATACAGAAAGTTTGAAAAAAAATCAACCACGTCTAACATTATGCCTATTTCTCCACATATTGGCTGCCATGGCATCCCTGTCTCTAAGCACCTCCCTTTGTTCCTCACGTAAATCCCAACCTTGCCTCTGATCCTTCCCCACTCTCCTCACTTCCTCTCTAATCCGTTCGTTCCAATCATCCTTCCTTCCTAATCCGCTTGATATTAGGTTGATATTTTAGTTTACAACAAAAAAGGCATCCAATGGAACCAGCTAGAGGCAGAATGATGTTTTAAACTAAAATGCATATGCTATTCCGTGTAAGTCTACTACTCCCCCCATCTCATAATATATGACGTTTGTAAGTTGTTCATGTGTAGGCTAATGATATTTAGAACTTACAAGTAACTAATGTGTGCTTTTTTGAATGTAATTCGGTCTAAATCAACCTACGAAATATAACACCCCGCATCCATGTCCGCGGACGGATGCAGGGGGAAAATTTGCGAGTTGCAGTTGGAAATGCCCCTATATCAGTACTGCGAGAATCGAGTAAGTTCTTTCCTTCAAAGGCAAAATAAAGAGAGAATACAAGAAGCCAATCAAGGATATTGTTCTTTCGGAAGCTTGTACTTTTTTTTTAAGTTTGATGAAAGCTCTGGTATATGTCCATGTGTGTTTTCCCGACTGAGGTGTGTGGTCTAGGCATACAATTCACATCTAGTGTGTGGTTCTTAGAGTTACAATTTCTCATAGTGCGCAGTTCATGCACAAACAAGTGTTGAAGATTATAGTAAAAAGGTGAATATATTGGTTGAGCTTAATGATTTATATTCGACTGAGGAGCTATAGTGGGCCCAGATGTCTAATGAGAGGTGGCTTTTACAAGGTGATAATAATACTGCATATTTTCAGTGAGTTTCTAATGGTAGGAGGAAAAAACTCTTCATTGTTTAGATGATAATGGTACTCTCATTGAGGGGACTGGTGATTTGCTTAAACATGCAACTGCATATATAAGGACCTATTTGGCCGTGCTCCTGGTAATATGTTTGCATTGTCTCCTGGTCTTTGGGGTGAGCATGAAAAATGAATGACTTAGACAACTTTATCCTTATTAGACCATTCACTGTTGAAGAGGTCAAGTATGTTACGTACATGTAGGTACCATGTTAGTCGAAACTACTTAGATGGACCAAAAGTACATGCATTGAGGGTTTTCCATAGAAAGCTAGGCATGAAAACGTCAAATCAGAAGAAAAAAATATTATAAAATATTAATGTAACTTATTAGTTTCCATTATATTTAAATCGTTTTGAATTCTTTACGCCATGCAATCTGCTAAAACCAAGAAATCAAATGTTGGCCCAGCCACCAACAAATCTTCGTTGTGGATCCCTTTCAATTGGAAAATTAAATTGTAAGTTTTGTAGCATCTTCATTCATTTGAACTGTTTATGTACATGCCTTCTACTATTCTCTAAAAAAGATGCATTTTTATTAAAATACTAGGTATGTGCCCCGTGCGTTGCCACGGGGGCCAAATGTTTAACATAATAAGAGGACCATACAGGATGAACCCTGATGCAAAACACATAGACAAAATAAGATTATGTTTTGGTTATAAAGCATAGATTTTCCGCCATTGCTTAAATTGACAAAATAGGTATATGCCCGTGATTTATCTGCTTTATTGGGTTACCAAAGATAGTAAGAGATTAATGCTATTTTTTGTCTAAGGACCGTGAATTTATTGCTATTTACTGGGTTAACGAAGATGATTGACAGGTAACAAGTTCTGCATAAGAAACAATTTCTTTACAGTACATGAATTTCCTACTATACCATACATTGATCCGGTTTGTTTTGTTGCCAAAGATTGTTTTGATGAAACCAGAAGGGGATGAAAACTGGGAAAAATCGACGAAGAGTGGGTGGACAGACGAACGAACAAGTGATGGGAGAAAAAATGACGTGAAATTGAACCTTACGTGAGGACGGACGTAGAGGTGACGGGGAGAAATTTTTATGTAAGGCGGAACCTTATGTTCTTTTTTATTAAAAGATCGTGACACCCAAATTTGTACGAACTATTTTCCCAAACTTAGTATCCCTTCTATGTCATAATACTACAAGTATGACATGCATCAAAATCTTCAAACGGCGTGTTGACGTATAATGTGCTGCCTAATCTCTTCCATCAGATCGGTCTTTTGCTTGCATTGGCTAGAGCATGTAGACACTTCTACATGGTATCAGAGTCAAGAGGTCTTTAGTTCAAGACCCGGCTGGCAATTAAATTGCAGCCCATTTTCGATCCACGTTTAGGCCTGAGGGAGCCACACGTGAGGGGGAGTGTCCTTAGGGTTTTAAATGTTGATATCACAGGCACATTCTTAATTGTGGACACTTTGTGCTTGTGGGCTAAGCCCAGCCCGTTTGAGAGCTACACTTTACTATTCCACAGCCCAGAGCAGAGTTCTATCCGCTCATCTCCAATTCCCTGTTTCTCAAAAAAAAATCTCCAATTCCCCATTCCACCGAAACACCGACCACCACCGCCGCCGCCACCCAGCCGGCAACCATGGCGGCAGCAGCAGAGACTCCTCTCCTCCACAACCTCCCAGACGAGATCGTCCTATGGGAGATCCTCATCCGCCTCGACCCCATATCCCTCCTCCTCTGCCGCGCCTGGCACTGCGCCACCTCCACCCACCGCTTCCTCCTCTCCCACCACGACCGCCAGCCCGCCCTCCCCATCGTCCACGGCGACGGGTACCGTAACATCCTCGCCATAGACACTCAGGCCGCCCAGCTCCACACCGTCGCCTGGCTTGATGGGGTCTTCATTGTGGAGGCCTCCTGCGATGGCCTCCTCGTCGTCTCCAAGTTTGATTACGCTGGTGCGTGTTTTGATTTTCGGTTTGAGCTTTTTTTCGCCCTAGGCCGAAATGGCCGAATATCGGCCATTTTCAAAATTTTCGGCTGAAATTTGACCAAATTTTGACTGCAAGTTGACATAAATTTAACCAAAATTTGCCAAATTTGAGTAATTTCGGCCTAAATATACTTTTCGCCTCACGCCGAGATGGCCGAAATTCGGCCGAAATCCACTTTTTGCAGCCGAAAATCAAAACACCTCTCGCACCTGCCTCTCCGTTTGCAACCCAGCCACGCGTGACTTCAAATCGGTGTCCCCCGGGCCCGACCCACTGCCGGGCTTGAGGATCCTACCGGCGAGTACCGGCTGCTACTGCAACATAGGAACAACACTAACTCGTCTAAACACCAAACTGGCCGCTGCTATGTCTTTGCGCTGGGCTCCCACCAGCCACGGAGGTATGTCGGGTGCTCGGAGACCAAATTAGCATTCTTCGATGTAGCTGTCCGGCTACGTGATAGCCTGCATTGGTACCCCGTGCTGTATGAGACTGAAAGCAGGCCATGGGAGTATGTGGGTAAAAGCGAACTCATAATCGTATTCGACACCACAACTGAATCGTTTCATCAGATGCGTGCTCCACCCGTCCCCACCAGCTCACGTATCTGTGAGATGGATGACACGCTTGGCATCAATAGCTGTAACTGGGCCATGGAAACTGTTGATATATGGGTGCTGCACAACTACGAAAGTGAGGTTTGGGATTTGAAGTACCGGGTTCAATTGCCAGTCGCACAAATCTGGGGGAACCTTGAAGGCATTGTTGGTACTCTAGCCTATTGGCATGTGACCGTTGCTTTGAGTGATGGCGACGTGCTCTTGCTGGTCAGACTTGGGCGTTCGCTGTTTTACGTTGACACTGATGGCAAGCTGATTGCTATTTTCCGAGACATCTCAGCATATAAACATCGGCTCAAACAAACTCTTGTGCCTCATGATTTCTTCATGACACTAGACGGTTATGCTGCGGACGCTTCGCCTTTCATCTGATGGCTATTGAGTGAGGAGGTGCTTCTTAATGGCCTAGTCTTCATATCCTCATCAGCTGCAATGTCTACGAGTTGGATCAAGCATGAGCATGCTGATTTCTTATTTTTGTGTTGATGTATGATGTATAATAAATTATGATCAGAAGTGACTGTTATGTGGTTGCATGAAATCCATTCCTTTTTTATACCCTTTTAGGCTGAAGCAACTACTGCTTGTGTTAATGCTAAAATTACCAAGCCATTTTGCTCTGTTTTTGTAATATTTTTCAACTCAACTGATCTTCTCCGTACTTGATATTTAGTAATCTTTATGCCTCATCATTATTTATTGAACTGAAGAATTGGTTTGACCTCTTGATCTAGCGGTCTTCTTAATAGCAATTTGTAGTGTGTTTCCTGATTGTACCCTTTGTCGTATCTGACAATGAGAAGATGCAGATTTTCCTCTTTGCTGACTTGCAAGATGCATCTGACTTCTAGCGTGTTGCTGATTGTACCTAGGATATAAGTGCAGATGATGTACTGCTCTCTTTAAATCAAACTTGGCTTATGTGGGATTCTGTATTGGATTGTAGCAATGTGCATTTGTGGGAGCCGATGGGCAAATATGGTGCCATTTTACGCGTTTCTGCCATGATAGGTTGGAACAGTTTTTTCTCTTGCAGGATTTGGACATGTCCTAGTCTAACAAACGATTCCAAATTTCCTTGATTTCTTGCATAAAGAATGAGATTTTAGGTTAGGCTCCAATGTCACATTCTGGACCATTGCCCAATACCTAATAATTCAGAGAAACGACGGAGATGGTTAGGTCGGTCTTATGGAAACTAAGCTCACCACTATATCGAAAATTGGACATGGTTGCAGTAGTATGGTTCTATAGAAGAGTGGTACTGCAACCTGAAAATCTATGAATAT